TGTCTGGGAAGCTCTTTATTTCTTCCTCAGTTTTAAGTGATAGTCTTGCTGGGTACAGTAGTAGTCTTTGTTGTAGTTCTTTGCTTTTCATCACTTTGAGTATTTCCTGTGACTCCCTTCTGGCCTGAAGTGTTTCTGTTAAGTAATCAGGTATCAGTCTTATGGGAGCCCTCTTTTAGGTAACTGTGTTTCTCTTGCTGCTTTTTAAAATTCCCTCCTTGTCTCTAACCTTTGGCATTTTAATTATGATGTGTCTGTGTGGACCTTTTTGGTTTCATCGTGGACTTGTGTGTTATTTTTGTTCACACAGAGAAGTTTTCAGCCATTATTTCTTTGAATAGGTTCTTGATCCCTATTCATTCTTCTCCTTTTGGTACCTCTATGATGTGGATGTTACTATATCTTTATGTTGTCCCAAATGCCCCTTAAACTATCCTTATTTTTTAAAATTCTTTTTTCTTTTTGCTGCTCTGATTGGGTGTTTTTTTGCTACCTTGTCTTCCAAATCGCTGATTCAGGCCTCTGCTTCATTTACCCTACTGTTCAGTCTATGGTAGTGATTCATTTCAGTTACTGTATTCTTCATTTCTAATTCTTTTTTACGGTTGCTGTGTATTTTTTTGTTTGCTATCTCTTTGTTAAAGTTCTCACTAAGCTTCTTGAACATCCTTATAACCATTCTTTTGAACTCTGTATCTGGCAAATTGCTTGCTTCCATTTCATTTAGCTCTTTTTCTGGAGATTTCTCCTGTTCTTTCGTTTGGGGCATGTTTGTCTTCTCAGTCGGGCTGCCACTTTGTGTTCATTTCTATGTGTTAGGTAGATCTGCTGTGACTCCCAACTCAGTCTGTCCAATATTTTGCCCAGAGTCTGAGCTCAATAGGGCAGGGCCACCAGAGCAGGGAGGGTGGGCCTAGTGGGTCTCCCATGAAAAGGAGTTGCTGGTGGAGCTTGGGGGAATGTGGGAGGAGTGGACCCCAGAGCTCAGTCTGTCCTGGATTTTTCCTAGACCTCAGCAGGTGCAGAGCCACCATGAGTGAAGAGGGTGGGGCCGCGTGGATCCTGGATGGTGGGGTTAGAGGGTCTCCTCTGAGGGGGTGCTGCCAGTCAGATTCATGGGATAGCGGGGGAGGCGCCCCCGGCCCCAGAGCCACACCCTCAGTCACTGACACCCCCTGAGTCTGCCAGACCTCTACATCCTTGCGCAGGCAGCTGACTTTTCAGCCTGGCGTGTGCTATGCATGGGTGCGGGAACAGGGAGGCCAGAGAGCGAGGCTGTTTCATTTCCCCCCACTGTTGCCCTAAGAAAGGTAGTGCTTTACCCAAGAAAGATGGAGTCTGTGGTGTGGGAGAGAAATGCAGCACAGGGGTCCCCACAGCTATCCCCTCAGTTCTGTCCCCAGAGCCACAAACTCCAGTAAGAGCATTTTTTTAATTTATAGAATTTGTAAACCTGACTCTAATCTTACTGCTTTCTTAGTGTTCATACCTCTGTACCAGATGGTGGTTTTCCTGCTGTTTCATATTATTCTTCATTCCGTAAAATGCTGAGAAGATATTTGGTTCCAGGCACTGTCCTGTAAGTTATGGCAGTGAATATAGGACCTTACCATCTCATGGGGAGACAGATATTAAAGAGATAATAATACAAAACGAGTTTAAGAAAATTACAGGGTATTAGCAAGTATGTTAAAGAGGAGGCTAGCCTGGCCAATAAAAGTCATTTAAGCAGTTGCTGTTGTTTTTCATGACATGACTTATTGAAGAGACCAGATCAGTTGTTTTGTAGTATGATATTTGTAATATTTTTTTCCAGTGGTGATATTCAGTATGGTCCTGAGTATATTTTTATTATCCTTTTTATGGTTATAAATAGACAACATATCCATTTTGGTCAATTTAGAAAATACTGTGTAAAAATAAAAATATAAATAGTTCATAATCTGATCACCTAGAAATAATTACAGTTAACATTTTGGTGTTTTTCATTACAGCTCTTTGCTTATGCAGATTTAAAAATAATTTAGGTCATCCTGATTATATATTTAATATTTTATTGAATTCTCTTTGAACATAATTTTAAATGGCTTATACTCCATTTAAATGGATTACAGTTGAACTCATATTTACTTAAATTTCCCAATATTGCTGAACATACATGATGCTTTTTTTTTACAATTATAAGTTAATCTGTGATGTATAGTAGTCTTCTGAATAAAGATTTGATTATATTTCTGACTTTTCTATTATAAACTGTTCAACTGGAATTATTGAGTAAAATATGTAAGTATTTTAATGGTTTACTAAATTGCTTTACATAAAGAAGCAGTTTTCGTAATTTGCTTTCTTGTTTGCTTTATCACTAATTTTATAATTTAATGGAGATAAGGTTTTTCTACATTGTTTTAAGGGTCTAATTTTTTTTTTTTTTACCATATGAATTTAAATTAACTTCGGAGTATTTTCTGGCTGTAATTTAAGCTATGCTGTACTGATTCAGTCTCTGCCTACCCCTGCCTCCTTACATACTGATTCTCTGATCTTTTTATTTGTTATTTGTTATTGATCTTTTTATTCGTTGTTTGTTATATGATCTTTTTATATGTTATTGTCTCAAGATACAACATATAGCTCTGGTAATAATTGTTGTTGCCCCGTTTCCTCGCTTCTGTAGACTTTGTCTTCCCTCCCAGGTCTCGCACAGGTCTTACTGATTCATTCCTCCACCTTTTATTGATTCTTCTTCTCTTTTGATTTTCTATAGTTATTCAAGTGTGTACCATACCATTTGGTACCAACTCATACTTAATTCGGATGTGATACATCACTACTGCATCATGCAGTTTGATTTCCTTAATCTGAATCCTCCTTTTTCCTGGTAATTTAGAATAATATCACATTTACCATTTTGGTGGAATTATCACACTTAATTATCAGTTGCAACTGGAAACTTTTGTGCTTTTGCGTCCAGTCAGTTAAACCCCTAACACTTTCCTCACAGGACTTGTCAAGACATCTAGTCTGTTGATGATTTCTAAAAAAAAATCTTAATTATGTCACTGCCTTATCCTGTTAAGTTCTTCCCAGGCTTTGGATTTGAGAAACTTAGTATCTATCTCATACCATTTTTTTTTGTGTGTGGGAGGATAGATAGAATGGTACAAGGCCAGATTTTGCATCATTTATGGTCTTTGATCATTTTCATGGTAAAGAGAATTATCACTTTTTGTTTCTAAATGTCATAATGTTTATTTCTCTCTAAATACCATAATTTAAAAACTTTTTGAACCTACAGTATTTTGGCCATATCTAAGTTATTAAAATTTTTATTAAAAAAGTTTTAAACCATCTAGGATTTACTTATGAACATCAAAGATTTATTTTTTTTTAATTTTTGAAAAAGATTTTATTTATTTTTATTTTTATTTTTTTTTCTCTTGCAGCCTCTGTGCTTCCTCTTTTTTTTTTTATTAAATTAATTTATTTACTTTTTTAAATACATTTGTCTCTGCCTTCCCCCCACCTCTTTCCCTTGCCCCCTCCCACCTTCCCTCCCTCAGCTCTTCCCCTTTGGTTTTGTCCATGAGTCCTTGCTATATGTTCCTTGACTTTCCCCTTCCCTTCCCTTTCCCTGCCCCCCCCTTCCCTCTTGTCTCTGTTGATTTCTGGAGAGTATCATGCTAAGCGAAATAAGCCAGGGGGCGAAAGACAAATACCATATGATCTCACCTATAAGCGGAACCTAACCAACAATGCAAAGAAGCAAGGAAAGTATGACCAGCAACACTGAAAGGAAAAGAAATCAACAGATTTTATTTATTTTTAGAGAGAGGGGAAGAGAGGAAGACAGAGGAGGACAGAAACGTTGATGTGTGAGAGAAACATTGATCAGTTGCCTCTTGCATGCCCCCAAACAGGGACCTGGCCTATACCAAGGCATGTGTCCTGACTGGGAATTGAACTGGTGACCTTTCAGTTTGTACTCTGCTGATCAATCCACTGAGCCATACCAACCAGGGCTAACATCAAAGTTTCACATTGAGCAACTATGATTATATTGTCTAAAAATAGGATATTAAAACGCAGTGTGGTATGGTAGGACCCACACTGGACAGGAATTAGGAGATATGACTCTATGTGACCTTAGGAAAATTTACATTTTGGGATTCTTAGCTTTTTTATTAATCCATAAAATAAGGAAGCCAGGAGAAAAGAACATGGGCTTTAAATTTGACAGACTTGGCTTCTAATCTTCAGCCTGCCGTTAACTACAGTGTGACCTTGCTAGGTAACTTACCGAACTTCTCTTTCTCACCCATAAAGGTTAATAGTATTTATCTCATATTTGCAAACAACAGCTCTGATAAGGGGTTAATACCAAAATATATAAAGGATTCATACAACTCAATACCAAACAAACAAACAATCCAATTAAAAAATGGGCAGGGGACCGAAACAGACACTTTTCCCAAGAAAACATACAAATGGCCAATAGATATATGAAAAGATACTCAACTTCACTAGCTTTTAGTGAAACATAAATCAAAACTACAATGAGATTCTACCTCACACCTGTTAGAGTGGCTATTATCAACAAGATAGGCTGGCCTCTTCTCAACCTGTGCAATGCTCTGTAGTCAGATTCATTTTTCATAAATTGGATTACTATGCGATAGTATAAATTTAGCTTGACAGTTTTCATGTCTGTCTAAAAAGGCTGTAAAACATATGAAGGTTAATGGTTAAAATAATCTTAATGATGTTTTCCAGATATTTTACTTTTATTCTCTTTCCCCTGTATGTTCCAGTAAGGTAAATAAATAAATTAGAATATTCAAAACTCATCTTTAAAAATTAAGGTCATATATATATATATATATATATATGTATTATATAATGTAACTTTACAACTTGAATCATTTTTAAATATACATTTCTTAGCGTTACATACATTCACATTGTTGTGCATCTGTTATCACTGTCCTTTGTTTTTCTAACAGGGTCAACATATTTCATTAGCACCTATTCAAAAACTTGAGGAAGCTCTATATGAATACCAACCACTGCAAGTGGAGACATGTGGACCACAAGTTCCTGAGTTTGAGATGCTAGGAAGACTTGGGTAAGTGCCTGAAAGAACTTCTCTTTGAGGAGCTGCTGTTTAGTGCTTTGTTTCTACCTTTTTCAACTTAAACTGTAGTGTTATTAGATTTTGAGTTTACAGAATTTTATACTCTTTTATAAAAAGAATGGTGCTTAATACTAAGTTAATACTTTTTTTTTATGGTTCTGTTAGTTTTTTTTGAGATTGGATTGTATTAGTTCCTTTTTAAGGCTGTCCTTGACAGCCATCCTGAAGTAGCTATTCATTTTCATCTTTTTTTTTTTTTTAAGAAAAAGGGGCTAAATTTAGTCAGTAGTAGGCCAGTATAAATATGAGAGTTGAGCTCCTTGCATGAAAAAGAGTAGCTTCACTCACTGTGTACTGTCTACAGTGAAACTGTATTTATGAGAAACTAGCCACAGAATATAGTTTGTGAAAAGGTATAATATACGGGTTGACAGTGGCTCAAAAGTCATATGCGTTCATTTTGAAAATGAATGTCAGATCGTGCTTTTGTGAGTGACGGATTTGATCACAGTCTTTCTCGAGTGTAGGTGGGTATTTGTATACTTGAAGAGTACAGGCACAGACTTTGTTGGATGGAGCAAATCATATTTTGTTGTGTTGTTTCACAGATTATTGAATGAAAAGGTGACCTAGAATTGGTTTTCTAACAAAATAAAATAGTGTAAAGGTATAATTGAAAAGAAAATAATTGGTACAATGAAACCAAGTAATTAAAGAAAGATGTTAACATCAAAGATAAGATAGAGGAAACACACACAATCTACATGTCTTTAAAACCAAAACCAAAATCTTGAAGATAATACATAGTATTTTGCATATGAACCTGGAGGGTCCAAAGTCAAATTACTATTAAAATGATAGATAATTTACATATTTGCTATTTCATAGATATTATGATTTTCTTTAGTTCTATGTACTTTCAGTGTCCTACTGTTTCTAAGCATAAAGTCAAGGGTGTGTGAAACAAAATCTAAAAACCCATTTGAGTTTGAGATATCAAATTTATCAAATAATTGGCCTAAATGCTGAAATTGAAGCTTGAAGAAACAGACAGTATAGGACTGTATGATATAAAAAGTTATAAGTGATTTAGACATTGATTTCTTATCTCTTACTTTGTAATGAAGAGTCAGAATTCTGTATCTAAAATAAGCTTTCTTAAAATCTTTACTTTTATGTCAGTGAAGACAAGTATATAAATAGTACTCCTCTGTTACAGGTTGATACATTTTCCAATAATTTCAAAATTACATTTGAAAAATCATGGAAATGACCATGTATAATAACAATATGTGACAATTAATACAGTGGATAAGAACAGGGAAAAAACTGTACTGTTGTAATGTTCTTATATTACGTGTGAATTGGTGTAATAGTATTTGGAGATAGATTATAATAAGTTAAAGATGTTTAATATAAACCCTGGAACAACTAATAAAAATGTACAGCAAAGTGGGATCATCAAGTCAGTATCAGAGAAAATAATGAGATCAAGAAACAGAGGGCAGGATAGAGGGGGCAAAAATAAATTGGATAATCAGGAAACAAATAGCATGGTGGTAGATTTAATATTAACTGTATCAGTAATTACATTAAATGTAAATGTGCTAAACAAAAATCATCCAAAAAACTTTCTGAAGTGATGGGAGTAGTCTCTGTCAGTGCTATTGAAGATAGTAGCCACCAGTTACATGTTTTATCTGAGCATTTGAGTGTATCTAGTGCAAATGCATAATTGAATTTTAAATTTTATTCAATTTAACTTAGATAAACTGTGACTATCATATGGGATAGCATAGGGTCTGAATACTCCAAATATTAGGCTGAGATTTCCAGATTAGGTTTATTTATTTTTAAGATTTTATTTATCTATTTCTAGAGAGAGGAAGGGAGGAAGAAAGAGAGGGAGAGAAACATCATTGTGTGGTTGCCTCTCCCACACCCCCTGCTTGGAACCTGGGCTGCAATCCAGGCATGTGCCCTGACTGGGAATCGAACCAGTGACCCTGTGGTTCGCAGGCTGGCGCTCAATCCACTGGGCCACAGCGGCCAGGGCTTCCAGGTTAGATTTTCAAAAAGCAAGATATACTATGTTTTCTGCAAGGATCTTGCATTATGTATAAGGATATAGTTTCTCTGAGCTTTACAAGTTTCTTTGAACTCCTTGAATCTGTAATTCATTATTCTTATTTTGTAAATATCTCAACTATTATCTGTTCATAGACTCCTTTTGCTCCCATTTTTCTGTTTTCATTCTGAGACTGATTTCACATGTTTGACCATCTGATATTTTACAGTTCTTGGCTGCTCTGTCCTGTATTTTTAAATCTTTTCTTAAATTTGTGTTTTCAGAAGTTTGGATAACACCTCTTGTCCTGTCCTCAAGTTCACTTATTCTTTTTGTGTCCCTCTGTCAATCAAAGGAATTCTTTCTGTTATTACAGCTTTCATATATTGCATCTCTATTGCACTCCTTTTTGTAATTTCCATCTCTTTGCTGAAATTCCCTATGTGTTTACACATTATCCACCCTTTTCACTAGATCCTTTAACATGTTATTTTACAGTGCCTCTTCGAGACTTCCATCATCTTGTGTTCTGGTTCTGTTGACTGTTTTATGTCTTGATGATAGATTTGTTTTTTCTGCTTTTATGTGTTTATTGTAATTATTGCTTGCATATTGGACATTTTGTGCAAAAGAACAGTAGAGATTGAGGTAAATAATATTTATGCCCTCTTTTTTTCTGTCAGGCCATCAGTATAGGGAGTTGCGTATTAAGTCTGTAGCTTGATTGCAGTTTGGGTTTTGTGGTTACTCTAGTTACCACCAGAGTCTTACTCTTCAAATTCTTCCATTTGCGGTCTGTTGCTACTTCATGCCTAATAGGAGGCTAGTAGTGCTAGAGGGATTTTCTCAGTCTTCTTGCTCTCCACCCTTAGTGTTCAGCAGGTTCTGCAAGCCTGAGCCACAGAGGGGTTTTTCTCTGGATATCCCTCCTCAGCAGTAGACTGATCTTGCTTTTTTCTTGGAGTAAGTCTTGTGGTGGGGGCAAGGAGGTTTCTCAGTTCTCCTGTTTGACCTTTCATCTTAGGCGGTCCTGTGTGCTGGAACCTTAGGGTGGTGCTTTTGCAGTGTACCTATCTCTTACCCAGAGGCAAACAACTTCTGTCTCCTACATCAGGGGGCAGGTGGGCGTCCTGTTCTTCTGTCAACCCCACAATGTCTTGTTTTGGTGGGAGCGGTGGTTCTTGAGTATAAGACAGTTTCCTGCCCTCCCCTGATCTCTGCTTTGGATCAGTGTGTTAGCTTGGATAAGAGTGGGCATCCTACCTTTCCTCAGTGGTCGAAGGCTTTTGTCGTGTCAGTATAGGGTCGAGGAGGGTTGCAATAGGTTTTCTACTACTCCCTCAGTGGCATCTATAACCTTTGCCTTTCCTCAGCAGCTAGTCTTGGTTGTTTTTTTTGTTTGTTTGTTTGTTTTTTTTAACAGTTCATTTCTGCTTCCATGTTGTGTTCAGTTAATGCTGATTTTTATTGGGTTTCTTTAATGGAATATTCTCCTCATCTTCCTCTTTTAATGTGTTTTGGTGATTTGTGCTGCTGTATGCAGGGTGGGGCAAGAGTAGGTTTAGAATATTTTGTATGGAAAATAATATAATAATAAATAATAATACAATGTTAATCTCTGTTCCACCTACTTACAACTGTAAACCTACTTTTGCCCCATGCTGTATGTGTATGTATTTAACGAATTAATCCTGATAGAAGTAGGTGTAGCCTAATAGACTTTTTTCCCTTGTTTTAAGAAAAGTATTAAATCGAATAAACTTTGGCAATGCTTTTGATTGTTTAGAACCCTTTCAGTTTCCTTTTGCCTTTACCATTATGGTTTAGATTTTAAAAAGTAGAATAAGTGTCTCTTAGATAAGGTATAACAATAGTGTTTATACTTTTTTTCAAGTTTGTCATGCCTAAAATCTTATTTAAACTTAAATAGAGTCTAGGTTGCTTTTTTGGCAGGGGGTGATGGTGGTGGGGTCCATCATTATTAACCATTGACTGTTTAGAATATAGATAGTTCCAGAATTCTGGAAGTAGACTTTTGTCTTAACAAAGACTGTGCAAATATTCTATAGCCACAAAAGTTAAGAAGGCAAATTGTTTTGATTACAAAGAAACATGCATTATTTTGAACAATAGCTCAGTGTAACTTTCTTTTAAACATCTCTGGCTGAGGAGTAGAGGAATGTAGATCAACGAGAGTGATATCAGAATTGCTAAAGAAACATTGAATTTTTCTTGACATAGAACTACTTATGTACCCAAATAGATTATATCTCATAACTTCCTTCTCTTCAGTCTCCTTCCTTCAGAAAAGGGTTAAATTCTACATAGACAAATTTAGTTTTCTATGAGGCCGCGATTAGTAGCTCAGCAATCTCTTTGGTAATGCGTTATGACCTAACACTTAAACATTTGCAAAAATAAATCCCAAATTCATTTTTATACTTCCAGTTCATTTTCTGTTATGGAATTATTTGAGGCCATATGCTTTCTTTTTTCTTGTTACTCTGATTAAGAGTACATTTTTACTTCCTATAATGTTCAGAAACTTTCAGAGAGAAACTGAACAAGTTGCCCTGTAAAGTGAATTTTCAGAGAATGATTTGGTATCCTCAAAGGTGCTGCTCTTAAGGTACAAGGCATATTATCTCAGTTGACTAAGGATATAATCGTTACACATCTGTCCCATGAGTTGTCCACATCTTTGCTTGAAGGTTGTACCTAATAAGCCCCATTTCTCCCTTTACAGCAGGCTTTTCCCAAAACCTCTAGCTTCCTCCTCTCTTATTTTCCCATTCCAACAAAAGTTCCATTTTATGTTATGTTATTCTGCAGCGGGAGCAAGTTAATTTCTTTAGAGGCAAATAGAGAGTAAATTAACTACCTCATTTCCATTTTCTTTTATCTGCCTTGAAATCTTTATGAC